TACTGACAAAGTCACATGCCTAGTAACAGATGGGGCTGCCAATATGGGGGCTTGTGCAAGGGAGCTAAGACTTAAACATGCCATATGCATAGCTCACACCCTGAACTTAGTGGTGAAGAAGGCCCTTGACCAGACCCCTGAGCTCTCTGACATCCAAGCCAAGTCCAGGAAGATCATGGGATATTTCAGGAGCAGTACCTCTGAAAAGGTAAGTTCTTAAGTGGCTTAATTACAGTTTCTTTAATGCTACTTATGTGTATTGTCGAGAAAAACATCTTATTTTAAATCTCACTGTGATATCATTTACATGCACTGTCATTATTTCATCATTACTTCATTAGTTTGTATCACTTTATCATTAAATATTATCATGTATCATTTGAATTAACATTTAAATAGATCAGTTAGAAACCACCAGAATAGCTGGACCTCCAGAAGGCTGAGCTGCAGCAGTTCACATAAGGACATTTGAACTCTTTTTAGCCTGATCCCACAATTACACAAAATACACACACTGTATACACAATTGGTTAGGTTCCCAGGAAGCATGAGTGGAAACATCTGGGTTCAATTCTGGGAAGTGGGGTGTTTTGAACATAGAAGGAGATATGGGAATTCTTCTGACGTCATAATGACTATAAAGCTTTCTGCAACGAGCAGGGAAGTCGAAGTCCGGCTCTTCCCACACTGTACTACTGTGTGCTTTAATAAAATAATTTATTGACCCACTATGGACTTTTCAGTCGTATGTCTCTTCCTCAAAATTCGAACCACGACAGTATAGTTCTGCTCCCTTGACAATCTAATGTATGCTTTTTTAAATTGTATTTTGTAAGGAGAGGCTTTCAGTCGTGCAGGAACAACTAAGGCAGCCTCAACACAAACTACTACAGGAGGTGGAAACCCGCTGGAACAGCACTTACAATATGCTGCAAAGACTTTTCGAGCAAAGGGAGCCAGTGGGTGCTGCTTTGGCAAGTCTCACAACAGACATCCCACCTATGTCATCTGAGGAATTTGGTATAATTTCAGAGTGTCTGGTTGTCCTAGCACCATTTAACGATGCAACCACTGAGCTCTCTCAGGAAAAAAGGGTGTCTGGGTCAAAGGTCATACCTTTGCTCACTA